AGGTTTGGAAAATTTTCAAACGTAGTCGTTGTCGGAGTAAGGCTAAATGTAAAAAATGTGGAAGTGTATTATCTGGTAAGTTTATTTCGGGTATTGGACACTTACCAAAACATCGTAACAATTCAAATTGTTACAAAAGTTTTGATCCAACCTAACCTAAGCTAACTCAATTCTATCAAGCTGGGTTAGGTGTGTTTCACTATAATGAGAAGGATAGGGATGCTTTGTCTAAAATGCTCGTTAAAGCTGAAAAACCATTTCTTTTTGCTGAGGATGATGATTTCAATGAGTGTATTAAATATGCATTGCAACCTCAACACTATAAGTGTCTAGAAATTAAAACAAGCTAGTCAAGTGCAATGAGACAATATTTGACACATAAGCAAGTGTTAATCACTGAGTTGTCTAATTTAGACAGTAAAGTTTCTATTTACTCCGATTTTTGGGACTCGGATTTTAGTGGTTTGCATTATTTGTGTGTAATGTGCATTGGATTGACCAGAATTGGATGATGCAAAAACATATTGTTGGTTTTGGAGCCTTGGAATATACACATAATGCTGTCAAGATTGCTCATACAATCATGAGTTGTATTGAAGAATATGATATTAAAAATAAAATCTTATGTTTGACTTTTGATAATTCTTCTACAATGCATGACTGCATGTGCAAAGATAATTGGTCAAAATCTTGTTGACTTAGTTTTAGATGGAACTATTTTACATGTTCGATATGCATGCCATGTTTTAAATTTGTGTGTACAAGATGGTCTTAAAGCAAATAATATGTACTATCATAAAGTAAGAGAGGCATGTAATTTTATTTATATGTCGGGTATGAGAAAGCAAGAATGGAAGCATCATCTTCAAAGTCGACGATTATCGGTAAGAAAAATACCAGTTGATGTTGTGCATCGGTGGAATTCATCATATGAATTGCTTAAATTTGCAATAGAATATAAGCAACCAATTACTGAACTTTATAATGCCCGATGTCCTAATTTTTCATTATTAGAGTCCAATTGGGAGCATTGCGAAAAATATATAGAGATTTTAATTTTTTTTTTTTTATGATTCAACTTTCTAATGTCTATGCTCCTACGACTCATACATTTATTGTCAATGCTACTTTGATTGCACAACTTTTTAGCAAATTTCGTGATGTAGAAGAGTGTCAAAGTTATATTCCACCAATGGAGGAAAATTTTAAAAATTATTATGCCACTATTCCACTTATTTTTGTATTTGCATCATTTCTAGATCCAAGACAAAGTTTGATACTACTTGTCAGTTAGAACTTTATATTGACTTTTTAAACCTTCCTATTGGCTATGAGACTTACAAAAAAGAAGTAAGTGATTCATTTTTTTTCACTTTATAGCCTTTATGACAATCGTTTTGGTCAAACTCGTAATGCTCCTATTAAAATTAGTAGTTTTGGTCAAACTCGTAATGCTCCTATTAAAATTAGTAAGGACCGACTCTGGTAGTAGTAAAATTATTTATAATGTTTTTGCATAGGGTTCAAGTTTACTTGGTATTAACAAAGGTAAGGGTAAGAAAATACGCAATACTACTTCATCTGACATGTCTGAGTTTCAAAATTTTTTTAAAATATGATTTTATGCGAGGTGAAACTGAAGAAATCATGAATAATCTTGACTTGCTTGATTGGTGGCAAAAGCAATGTAAACAATTTCCAGTTCTATCAGCCATGCTACGAGATGTTTTTGCTATTCAAGTTTCATTTGTTGCTGCTGAACGAGGTTTTAATGCATCGGGTTGTGTTTTAAACAAAAGAAGAACTAGATTAAAACCAGATACTCTTGAAATGTGTGTTTGTTTTAAGGATTGGTTAAATGCCAACAAAAGAATATAATGCAAGACCGTGAACATGCTGAACAATATAATGATGAATTAGATGATACTGCTGCCTCAATGTCTGTATTGGTCCAATTATTAGCATCCGAGTTAGAATGTGATGAAGGACAAGGTGATGAAGATGAAGAAGAAAATGAATAGAATGCAACAATAATAATTAGGAAAAATTGCGAGGAAGGTCCTTTTAAGGATTCAACCTTGTGAGGAAGGTCCTTTTATGAACAAAGTGGTGAGGAAGGTCCTTTTATGACGTTTGGGTTCCGTGGAGGGTCCTCTGACCAAACTCCGGCATTGACTTCCGTTTTTCGGCCAAAAAAAAGTCACGTGCTGTGCACGTGACCTCTTAAATCTGATTTTTCCCAAAACCACCATCCCTCCTTCAACCAATGCTAACCATCGAATCGCCACCAACCCATTACCCCACCTGTTCACCTCCAGCATCAACATTCATCGTCGCCTAACAACCAAAAGAAAAAACACATTATCCAAAATTCCACTATTAATTTAAGAAGATTGAAATTGGAATTTAGTCAAGCAAGCAAACAAAAAACATAAAAATGCATCCAGCAAGAAAATAAAAGTAAAATAAAAAGGAAATCATATATAGTATAAACAAAGAGGAAATAAAAAAGAAAGAAACCTGGTTAGGGACGAAAATAGAGGAGTTATAAGAGGAAGAAGAAAGGCTTTGTGAATTGTTCATGGCTAATTAGAAGGGTAAAAGTACTGGGAAATTAATGGAGGAAAGAGCGACATTTGCACCCCGCATTGTCACCCAAAAACCTCACCCCGCAACCTCCCCCCTCAACCAATGCTAGCCCACTAACGGCACCACCATCGTCGTCGCCCAACACAGTAATTAATAATGTTAAAATTAACCCAAATCAGATCACCAATTGAATTGACGACAAGCCCTTTAATTATTTATAAGAAAAAATACATGTTACCTTAGAAGTTGCTTTAATGGGGGAGAGAAAGCTCACAGGCTTCTCTGAAGAAGAACTTTGAGTACATTCAATGGAGAAAAGGGAAGAAAAGGGGTGAGATTGTTTCAGTGAAAAAGAGGAAAGGAAAAAGGAAGGGAAAGGGGAAGAGGGTGGGGCTGGTCAGGCCGGCTACCATGTGCTGAGGCTAGCTCCGATGAGGGTAGAAGGAAGGGAAATCGTGGAATAAGAGGGAAAGGGAAGGAAAAGGGAAAAAAAGAAAAAAAAAATCAGATTTAAGAGGTCACGTGACTTTTTTTTGGCCGGATAACAGAAGTCAACGCCGGAGTTTGGTCAAAGGACCCTCCATGCAACCCAAACGTCATAAAAGAACCTTCCTCGCCACTTTGTTCATAAAAGGACCTTCCTCACAAGGTCGACTCCTTAAAAGGACCTTCCTTGCAATTTTTCCTAATAATTAGTTATGAAAGTCATGTAACACTACTAGTAAAAATCCTATAAATTAGATATGCTTCATGTTTCTCTTATAACTTTGAGGTTTTTTTTATTTTCAAAATTTACAATATTGTTCTTAGTATTGTCCTTTTAAAATATTGTATAACTAAATTTGAAGAACTAAATGTAACATTTGAGGTGTTATTTTGTTATAATATTATTCTCTTTAATTATACGGAGTATCAACTTTTATTATATCAACTTTAAATAATTTTTACTCTTACATAATCATAGACATAAAAATAAAATCTTATGTTTGAGATGCATAATTTGATCCTTCTTGCCATATTAGTAGAACGGAAGATATACGTATCAATAATACTTACACAATACGATTATGACACAATTATGATAAGCCCATGGGCTAGCATGTGGGTAGACCCGATGGGCTTTGTTATGGGCTAGCATGTGGGCAAATTTTGGCTAAGTCGCGCTCAGCCAACGCTAGATGAGGTCGCCGCAAAAATTGAACATTTACTAGGAAAAAAATGAACATTTATTTCTAAACATTGCATATATAAAAATGAACATCTGCAAAAATCGAATATTTACTAGGAAAAAAATTAACATTTAATTCTAAACATTGCAATATATAAAAATGAACATTTATAATATAAGAGTAAAATACAGAGACTATAAAATTGGAAAAAAAAAAGAAAAAGATTGTACATCTATTATTATAACTGAACATTTCAGTTGTAAATAAAAATGAACACATAATGTTATTGCTTATTCATCAACATTTTTTTAAGCTTTAAGTGAAATACCTTGATTTGTTCAATTCTCTTGAATAAATATCTTGCAATTTGCTGAGGTATATGATTTAATACCAATTAAATAAATCAACAATATGTTTTTTTTTAATAATGAACAAAATGCTAATGTCCAACATTATTGATGCAAATGTTAATTGAACATCCTTTATTATAAAAAACGAACATTTTATACAATTGAACAAATACAAGAATTTGTATTAATTAAAAAATAAAATGAACATTTATTTTTATAAGAATGAACATCATACGACATGAAAATGAACATTTGTCTTATAAGAATGAACTTCATACTGCATGAAAATGAACATTTGATTATCGAGAAATACAAAATTATTGTAAAATGTTCAGTTAGAAAATGTTCATTTTGTTATAGTAAATGTTCATTTTAGCAGCGACCTCAGAGGCAGCCCTAGCTGAGGTCGACCTCAGCTATTTACAACTGCTAGCATGTGGGCAGACCTGATGAGCTTTGTTATGGGCCAGCACATGGGCTGGCTTGCGGACAGGCTCGACCCACACATATAGCCCATGGGCTCGTGCCATGCCTGGACTGCCATTTCTCATTTTTGGGCCCGATATGACACATTCCATTTTCATCGTGCTGGGCCTTGGTTCTTGCTTGGATAACCCCAAAGCCTGTGGGATGTGCCCATGGCCTAGCCCAAAGCCATCTTTAGGGTCTAACCTTAGCATACGATCAACCCTCAATGTTAACGCTGAGGAAGTAAATTTACTAAATAACCCCTCACAGCTCACCCGAAAGTACATTCCTTACCCAGCCGGCCAGCTCAAACCTCAAAACACCAAAAGAAGATTGGGCTGGGCTTTCCAATTCCAATAGTTTTGGCGCGTCCACTTCCAAGTTCCAATTCTCCTTTTACATCGATTATATCGTCCTCACTCTTTCTTATTCTCCCTACTTCTTAACAACTTCACCTCCCTCTTCTCTCTCTCTTCGAATCTGCAACACCAACTTCAACTACTTCAATTACTACAAATTTTAGCATCCAATTTGCTAACTCAAATTTCACATTGGAGAGATCTCTCATTGTTCTTCGTTCATTGACATATTCTCTTGTGGTTTGTTTTATTAATTTCGCCTCACATTGTTTTTGCTTTCAGTTTGAATTTGATTTTATATTTGCTTATTTCAATTGATTTTGGCAAACTATTTTAATTTTTTTTAGTCTCAGGTATTTGATCGGTGAATATGGATGCATTTTTGGTTTGCAAATCTGTAACTGTGCCATCTACTACTAAACCTGTAAGCTCAAATTTTATTAATTTTGGCTATGATATTATCGAAATTTTGATTGGAGTTTTAATGTGCCGTTTCGAGCTCTGTAGAATGAGAATAGGTTTGCCCCTGAATTGTTGCAGGTTAGTATAGTGATTAGTATTCGATGAGACAAGAAGTTAGTGTCACACTTATTGGAATTTTGTGATTCTTAAACTATTTGTATTAGTAACTTAATATGAAGCATACTATTGGATTAGGTATGTGTATGTGATTAAATTTTCGGGGCTCTCTCTTTAGGCTCTCAACATCTTCAACATACAATTGGTTGTACCTTGCAAAACTAGTTGTGGTTTGCTGATCAGCATGAATGAGTAAATTGGTTTTTGCTCATTTGTACGAATGAACTAGCTAATTGATTTTGCTCTTAATACTCATTAATAGATTTGCTCATTTTATGCTAATTGTAGAAATTAAGAGAATTGAGCAAAGTATCTCAATTTATGTCAATGAGCAAAATAATCGCTCCAATTATGCAAATTAACATGTATGATAATTGGCTATACATGTACAATTGGTGAGGAGAGGGTGAAATGGGAGAAACGTGTTTTTAATTGTAACTTATTTGATATTTGAATTTAGAATTTAATAGTTGCCTGTTTATCGTATACAATAATACATTGAGCTATCATATTTACCACTTTGGAAGCAGCCTCCGGACTAGCATTAGTATTAGGGGCTTGGAATAAGGCTGAGTACACTTTGACCAACCAAAACCGTCCTTGTGGATTGCTCATAATGTGTAGTCTAATTTTTGAAGTCTTTTGTCATATAGTTGGAAAATATAATAATACCATGCATTTGTTTTGTAGATCAAGCTTTAATGTGAATTTAATGGTATGTTCATGGCTCATGAATTTATTTGGTAAATGGTCTTTTAATTGTAGGGCCTATGGATGAACCAGACCAAAAGAATCAGCAGTGCTCCATCTAACTTGACGATAGGGAGCCGGGTTAATTTTCCTGGGCAGTCAGTTCAGGTTCTTAAGATAAATCGTAAAACTAGAAAGTGTGGTGGAGCTCTTGCAGCTACTTGTCGCAGTGAGAAAATTTTGGTAGCTAATAGAGGTGAGATTGCAGTCCGTGTGATCCGAACTGCTCACGAGATGGGCATTCCATGTGTTGCAGTCTACTCAACCATAGACAAGGATGCACTCCATGTGAAAATCGCTGATGAATCTGTTTGCATTGGTGAAGCTCCAAGTAATCAATCGTAAGTCACTAATGATAAGATATGATTCTGCTCTATATTTTCAACTTAATTGTTGTTTCTTTAGTGGCAGGGAGGTGCATTGTGATCCATCTTTCTCCTACATATTCATGATATAGGGCCTAAGTAATCTGTATGGTCTTATAATAATAACAAATCACAATTTTCTATTGCATCAAACACTTGTATCCATTTTGTTGGCACTTTGGAGAACATGCAATACTTTAATCACTTAGTAGAACAGCAAAGTGTTCCAAAATTTGTTATTAAAGCAGAATGGAGTGCTAATATGTTCTTTGTATGGCGTCTTTGATTACTTATCGACTTTTTGGATAAAGCAAAAAGGAGTGGTACTAAAGGGATGACTCTTCTTTATGGCTTATCAAATTATGAACTTCAGTGTGAATTGCAGCCCTTTATGAGAGATTTACTTGTCAATTAGTTTGTTTGCTCACGCGTAAAAGATCTTTAAAATATACTTTTAAGCTTTTTATATGATCACTAATACACATTGGACATATTGAATTTGGATCTGGGATTTTTATCCCAATAAATTATTTTTTGGTTAAAGTATTTTAAAGGAAGCTAATTGACATCCGTCCTCCCCTTAAAAATAAGGAAAGAATGAAAGATAGATAAATAGGTAGATAGATAGAGAGAGAAAGTGGCCGGAGAGGGAAGAGAGGAGGAAAAATGATATCTTTTTCTATTTTAATTGTCACATGTATGTTTTGTTACTAATTCATTTCCAACAGATATTTGGTGATCCCCAATGTTCTATCTGCTGCTGTAAGCCGTGGATGCAGTATGTTGCATCCTGGGTATGGATTTCTTGCTGAGAATGCTGTTTTTGTTGAGATGTGTAGAGAACATGGAATAAATTTTATTGGACCTAATGTAAGTTGTCCTAATCATACTATGTTTCGATTTGTTGGTTTTTATTGTATAAATTTACACATTATATGCAAATTGCCGAGAGTACTCCCATAAATTCATGTATTGGTGAAAGAGAAATTATAAAGAACACTACTCCTCTCTAGTTCTTTTTTCTTTTACATTCGGTGCACTTGTAAAAAGGATCATGCCATCATTTATTTCGTTACGAATATCAATACTTGAAAATTGGATTACCACAAAAAAAAAAAAATTAGATTGTATTAGTTATATGGAAGAAAAATATCATTCATGCTTTATTGTATTATTCGGTTATGTGATAGGGAAAATAAATTAATCAATAAAGATCGGAGATAATGTGATTAGGGAAGATCGGATAAATGAATCTCATAGCCTCATTGACCTGTATTATTTTTGACACACTGTTATTAGACTTGTTTCTCGCATTCAATTACTCAACAAGCAAAACTAGAAAGCTTGAAACTTTGCATTGATGAAGTGAAAGTTGATTACATAAGTAGTAGCGTTAAGTTACAAATTTAAAATCTAATAATTTTAGACTACTTTAGGTTATCAATGTCCTAATTGCAAGAACTTAATACAAACATGGTTAATTTTTTTATTGAACACTGCAGCCACTTTTTGAGTTCCTTTTATCATTGTTGATTCTCTGTGTGCATGTGTCCCCTTTTGAGTTTCTTTAATCATTGTTGATTCTCGGTGTGTGCATGTGTCCCCTGCCCTTTTCTTAATGTTAATTTTAATCTCTATTATTACGTATATTTTATTTTTTGAATTTTTATTCTTAAGATTTTTTTTTTTTTTTTTTTTTGGTCGTTGTTGTCATCTCTCCGTTAGTTTCAATCATAGAATTATGACAATTATTGTAATGATAAACGATTTACTGTCGAGGGTAAAGCCATAATTTTAAAATTAAAGAGCTAATAGTAAAATGTAGAAGAGTAAGTATTATAGATGATTTTATGTGTAAGACTTTTGATACCAATTTTCATAAACTATTGAGTATTTATTTGCAATTATTTAACTTTAAGAGATTTTGTACCCATATTTCATATATTAATATTTTACTTTTTTGAATTTAAACCTTTTCATTTATATATAAATTTTTAAAAACTTAATATTTGATTAATGGATAAGAAAGAGAGAAAAAAAGTAAAGAGGTGAAATGAGTTTGAATCTTTTAAATGAAATACTTTTTTTTTTTTGTTTGTGTTGTAGATGAGATATAATGTTATGGGTATATATAAAGTATTGGTTGTAATCAGATTTGATTCCAAGTGTTGCCACTTGTAGCAAAGTCATATGTATATTCTTTTTCTAGTGTGACAAAACTAAATGATTAATACAATAACTAAACGATTAATACAATAAGGCAGATATTTGTTTTAAGTTCTTTTAAACTCTTTTGTATAGGGACTAACTAAAAAAATGATTGAGATGTGGAGTTAGGTCGTGGAGGTCGGGCCTACCAGCCCACATGTGACTTCACCCCTGTTTATAGATAACTATATCTCTACTTCTTTCTTCTTATGACACCAGCCAACATCTAAGTTTCAGTTGTGAGTGATGATCATAAAGTTTTGAGGGGCATGCTGTATAGCTATATAAGTTACCTGTTGGAATAGTATTTACTTTTGTTGGCACCTGGAAGCTTCTTGTAATATTTCATTGCAAGAAACACTGATTTCTGGAAAATCATATATAATATATCTAAACTTTTTGTTCTTTTATTTCGATTGCAAATCTAACATAAATATACTAATTCATGAAGCCTTCTTACTATTTTGCAAGAGTAAAGAGGTTCAAACTTTCAAATATTATTACATACAAAATGTGAACATCCAAACTCTTAGGCTAGCTGTAGAAAGTAAATTGCTCTTCCAGGAACATGTATCACTTAAAATCCCCTTATTTTCCCCAAAAATAGTATTTGAAAATGCGTCAGATACCAAAATTATTTTAATTTTATTTCTTACATGGATTTCAAGATTCCTAAAATATTATATCTTCCATTTTTCACTGATGTCTCTCGTTTTGAATTCACAAGCTTCTTATTCTGATGAAAACATTTTTTTATATGTTGACATTTACATAAACTGATTTAGAAACACTCCAGTACAATTGATACTTTAGAAATCATCTACTACCTCCGTTAACGATTATTTGGAACATTCGCCATTTTTGGTTGCTATCTATTATATGCAACAATTTTTTTTCTTTCCATTTTTAGTAACTTTTTGCCCACAAAATGCCCATATTACCCTTACTTAAACAACTTAGACATCTAATTAAATCACTAACCTGATTTCACTCTTTACCTAATGAATCTGATTATTGTAATCATTTTCACCAAAAATCATTCACCTTCATCAAAATCATTCATCTCCCTAACCCTTCTTCAATTGAAATCTGCAGAATTTAAACCCTAACCCTTCATTTTGGTTCATCTTCCCCCTTCTCTCTCCTCTTGCGATTTGGGTTTGGGTTTGTCTTGTTCGTGGGTTTGGGTTTGTGGATTTGGGTTCGTGGGGTAGTTTTAGGGGTTTCGGATCTGATTCATGGGGGTGGTGTGAGTTTCGTGGGGATGGGTCTTCGTGGTGGGTGGGTTTGGTTTCATGGGTAGTCGTGGGTTTGGTTTCGTGGGGGTGGCGTGGGTGGTTTCGTGGTGGTGGCTTAATTGGTATTAATTCAATTTGTTGTAGTTTCGGTTTAATTGGGTTTCGTGGTGGTTCAATTTGTGGTGGTTTATTTTGTGGTGGTTCAATTCGTGGTGGTTTAATTGGGTTACGTGGTGGTTATAGATGGTGTGGTTCTGGGTTTCGTGGTTATGAGTGGTGATGGTTCTGGGTTTCGTGGTTCTTCTGGGTGGTGGTGGTTTTAGGTGGTTCTGTGTTTCGTGGTGGTTTTCGGTGATTTGTGGGTGGCATGGATGGTGGTTCGTGGGGTCTGGGTGGCGTGTGGTGGTCTAGATCTCCTCCTTCATAATCAAAATCTCACTCCTCCTTCATCTTCTCCATCTTCTGTCTGTCCAGATCCGGAGGTTTCCAATGGGTTTGGTGGTGGTTTCCAGTGGGTTCGTGGGTGTTGGTGGTTTTCTCTGTCTCGTGGCCTGGGTTTTCAGTGGGTTCGGTGGTGGTGGTGGTGGTTTACGATGGGTTCGGTGGTGGTGGTGGTGGTGGTTTACTGTGGGTTCGGTGGTGGTGGTGGTGGTTTACGGTGGGTTTGGTGGTGGTGGTGGTGGTTTACGGTGGGTTTGGTGGTGGTGGTGGTGGTGGTTTACGGTGGGTTCGGTGGTGGTGGTGGTGATTCTGGGTTCTGGGTTTGGTTGTTTATTGGTTTTGATTAATTGTGGGTTTTTTTTTTTTATTGGATTAGTGCTTAAGTACATGCCCTTATATTTCAATAATCATGTTTAAAAACTTTTGCCTTGGCCCGCGAAGAGTACAATTGTTGCAAATAATCATTAACGGAGGTAGTATATGCTTTAAAATTAAAAAATAGATTTGACCGAATACAGTTGACCCCTGCACCGCTCAGATTCTGCACAACGAGCAACGAGCTGTTAAAAAGGGGTGAATTTAAGGGTTTACGCTCTATAGGCTATATTATGGGCTTTTAATTTGTTTTGGCCTATACAATACTTCAGATGTCATATGTGTCCGATCAATTCATATAACCTTTCGAAAAGGTTAGATACTAGTAGTTTGGAGTGGAATGGAGAAAATTTTAGTTTGACACAAAGTGACATTCTCTTTGTGGACAATTTATTAAAGGAACAGCCTGAAATTAAGACTTAAGTTCCGTATAACTCTTATATACAGGGAAATGATGTGTCTCATTTAATTTCTCCTTAATCCTTACATGTCTTTTGGTGATGCTTGCATAGTTTTATCTATGTAAATCTTGTAACTGCCATCTTCCACCTCAACACTTTAAGGAGATACGAAGTATAAACTTGTTTTACACTCTAATTTATTGCAAATATCCAGCCAGATAGCATCCGTGTCATGGGTGACAAGTCAACTGCTAGAGAAACCATGAAGAAGGCTGGTGTTCCAACTGTTCCAGGAAGTGATGGATTGTTACAGGTAAAATTGTTTGCCATTACGTTTCATTGTACATCATTGCACAATTGATTAAAACTACTTTGAGTTCTAGCACTAGGTCATCTTTTCTTGCAGACTTAGTTTTCTAACATGTAGCTATGTCTTTTGTAATAATATGCAGAGCACAGATGAAGCAATAAAGCTTGCTCATGAAATTGGCTTCCCTGTTATGATTAAGGTACTACTTTGCATTTCTGGAAATATGTTTACATATCAAATTTAATTTGAACCCCACACTGAGACCATGCATCTGTATCTTCCATCCTTTTCTCCAAGTTAAGGGTTTTTTTTTTTTTTTTTTTTTTTTTTTTTTTTTTTTTTTTTTTTTTTTTGGTGGTAAGCCTCTTTCTTACTAACTCACAGCAAATATGCTATTGAGTTGTTGACTAGATATATGGCCATGCTATGTACGTATAATGTTATATTATGACATTAAAAAATTAATAGCAAAAGAATTTAACTAAATTGCTTCTCCTAGCTGCTAGGTGGCATTGGATATGATGTTGTCAATTATGCTCCTATTTAAATGGAGATGAGAGTACTTGTGTGTTTTTTTAAAGCACAAAATGGTTTTCTCTAAACCACATTTCACTTCATTTTAATGAGAGCGATTCTATGATTGAAGTTTTTGCCTCTTTTTTTTTTTTTTTTTTTTTTTTTTTTTTTTTTAATTATGATGCTGGCTCATTATTATTCAGGTATCAGATATGAACATAAAAATAGGTTATCTTCATCTTCAAATGTTCAGATATTCATCTTGAATGGGATTTGTTTTAAAGACCTCTACATCTAGTTTTTGCCATATATACGATATGATGCTAGAGAATTTCAATTTCTTTCACTTTTTGTTAAGTATTGAAATTGGAGGATCTAAAAGTATTCTCCATCAAAAGCTCAAATATCTTGTAGGTGTATTAAAGTATTGCCCACTAAAGCTTTTAGATCTTATACTCATGTTGATATTGTATTCTCATTGCAACAGATACATCTGTTTAGTAATTGTATTTGCTGAAGTTTTATCAAATAATCTGTGCTTTGGGTTTAATGAAGGAAAAATTCATGGCAATAATCCGACCTTTCGATTATTATTTAATAATCCGACCTTTGGGGGTCTTTAATTTTTATTGGTCCCATTTGATCAGAAACCGGTTGAAGAGGTAATTTGTTTTTTTTTAAGTTTAATTTACATGTGTCACAATTTGATTTGTCCAAAATTAAAAAAAAAAAAACCATCACCCCTGCCACCACCTTCCCCACCACCCCTGCCACCATTCCCTCTCCTCCTCCCCTTCACGCAGCTCCCCTCTCCCCCAGAAATCGGCCGGCCGGCGTCCAGCTCACCCACTGCCGGCCGACCCACCCCCTATTACTCCAACCTCCCCTTAACCGTCGCTCCACCCATCCAAACGAACCCTAACCCGCGAGAACCGCAACCAACCTCCACCTTCACGAACATCAGATTCCACCCCTCCCGGACCACCGCAGCCTCGAAACCACCCCTTACCATGTTTTCCGGCCCCCATAAACCCTATTTCCCCACCTAACACCACCAAAAAATCGGTTTATCTCAGAGAACCCAAAACCCCGAAAAGGGGTGCAGTGGTGACGGTGAAGTGACGGTGCATCGGTGGCTTTAATTTCTGCCTGGTGGTGCGTGTGAGAGCAGCGAAGTGAGCTGCTGCGATTGTTTGCTGGGTGGTGTGAGGTGGTGCTAATTGTGGCTGCTGTGGTGGCAGTGAGGGAGCAGGGTTGTGAGTGAGGGAGATGCGGGGGTGGTTTGGTGCTGCTGGTGATGGTAGGGAAAGAGCAGGGGGAGAGGGAAGGGGAGTGGCTGAGAAGGTGGTTTTGTAGGTGGGGCTGAGAAGGGGAGTGGCTGCCAGGGGCTGCTGCCAGGGGTGGGGGGTTGGTTTAATTTTTTTTTGTTTTTTTTTTAATTTTTTTTTGACCAATCACAGGCTGCCACGTGTCATGTAACCTATTATAACAGGTTACATGACCGGTTGGGACCAATAAAAATTAAAGACCCCAAAGGTCGGATTATTAAATAATAATCGAAAGGTCGGATTATAAAAGAAGAATGGGCTAAAGGTCGGATTATTGCCATGAATTTTTCCTTTAATAAATATGTTGTATTTTGTACCTTGTGCATGTAGTTTGGCTTTATTAATAAAGTGTGTGCATAGTAGTTTGGTAATATAATCAATAACTATATACTAAAGGCGAAACTTGGAATGACACTTGTTATTTCTTGGTTAAAAATTTTCCCGCCTTTTTTTTTTCCTATTTTTTTTTATTTGCCATTTTTTTTATGACATTCATTTTATAACCTACAATAATAATTATTTCCATTTTGACAACCTATTTAATTTAATCCAATTATACTCAATTTTTTTGTACATATATATTATATACTAGGAAACTTTTAGTTACAAAAATACTAACATAGATTAAAAATAAGGTATTGTAATATATTATATTCCAAGATTATTATTTCCTCTGTTTTCTTTTAAAGGCAACACACCTTTTTGACACGCTTTTTTAGGAGTTGATTAAAGTAGGCAAATGAGGAATTTAACAAAATAATTTTAACACTGGCAAATGAGGAATTTAACAAAATAATTTTAACACTATAATTAGAAAAGGGTTAGTTACTACATGTATAAATTATATTGATTAATTTTTCCGTTTACAACTTTACACTGCTTAATCTCTTCCTCAAAGTGCGTGTTGAAAAGATGTGTTGCATTTAAAAGAAAGCAGAGGAAGTATAATATTATCAATATCAATTTTTTTCTCCAACTTTTATCATTTGACAATAAAATTTATTTTAATTAAAAAAAAATAAAATCATTTTGGTAGCATACTTTGTATAAATCTTAAAATTACATAACATTTATAAAAACAAAATCATTTTATTATAGTATACATAATATATATTGGAAAATAAATCTAATTAGGCTAAATATTTATGTGATTATTTAAAAAATAAAAACCTCTACTACTCACCTAAAATATATTTAAAAAAGTTGATTACGGAATACTAATTATCCTAAAGTAAAATACAATCAATTAAATTTTCATATTATGCCGGTTAAAGTGTGTCAAAAATTTAAGGATAAATGTATATGAGTTCGTATATGGGTACTAACCTAAGCTAATATATTAATTTTCTTATATAAAATTGCCTTGTAGCTTCTAAATTTCTATTACTATATTTTATTTTATTTTTATACAATCCAATTCAATAATCTTTACATATTTGGTAATTGGTATTGGTATAAACTAAAATTCAAGTTATTTTGTTACAAAGAATTTTGTTGGATAAGTTATTGTTGAATTAACACCATTATTTATAATTTATTTATTGTAAAATTAAATTTAATTATGACCGTGCATGGCACGGGACTTAACCTAGTTACATATTAATTGTTGGCCGGCATACAATGCCAAAAGATCTTCGTAATGCTCGGAGAATCTTAAAATTTTTTGTTGGAAGGCAACTGCAGGGGGTGGAGGCCGTGGGATGCGTCTTGCTAAGGAGCCAGATGAATTCGTGAAGTTGCTGCAGGTGATAATAAATTGCTTCTTTTTTGAAAATATATGTACATTTTTCATCCACCAACACTGCTTTTTTTAAAAGTTATAACAACAGGTTAGTGATGCTTCTATTTCATGCTTGAGAGTTTTTATTTATTCTATGGGTGCCTGATACAAGTGGCCCAAGCATGAGAATTTCAGCTGCTGCTTTGCAGCTTGATATTGGTGTATGTATGTTCAGGCAAAAATTGGTATTGTTGTTTCTTTCTTTAATTTTTGACGATATTCCTACCAGCAAGCTAAGAGTGAGGCTGCAGCTGCATTTGGAAATGATGGAGTATATTTGGAGAAGTACGTACAAAATCCAAGGCATATTGAATTCCAGGTATTCAACAAAAACAATATAGAGTTTTGGTTGGTTTATAGGCTGCTGTTACAACTATAACATTTGCTCTGTATTGTTGGGGTAAGAAATTTTGTTAGAAAATTGAGGCCACTGAATGTAGCATATATGAGTGCCGGATGCTATTGAGGTTTTGCTTTAGGACCTAGAACACAAAATCTTGTCTATTTTCTTGTTAGGGGGTTGTGGGTAGGGTTAGTGAGCCTTAAGATATACTCATTTTAATCTATGGCTCAGGCCAACAGCTTAAGTCAACCTAAAGTTAATTTTTTTGTAAAATTTAAAACTCTGCTCATTGGATGGCTTTGAATAAATTTAATATTTATATATTGATAATGTAAAATGATACTTTACTAACTAAAGAAAAAGAATGATTTTAAGTGAACAAAGTGTTGTATTCTTGATGGGCTAAAAAAATCAGAGATAAGTAAATTCTGGGGCTTTGTTTGGACACTTGTCTTTCTCTCCTTTTAGAATAAAATTTAATGGGAGGATCTAAGTTTATTTTCCATTTCAAGGAATACATGTATTATATTCTATTGATCAAATTTGTGTTTGTTAGTCTTCCTATTTTGTCTTCCAATTTTTATCATATAAGAAAGTCTTTAACATCTGCTACTAGTAATTTGTTACAGATCCGTATACTTATTTAATCAAAATAAATGAAGTGTTGTGGAAAATTCTTAATAGGTCGAGTTTAATACTTTCAACGGGAGTTAAATGAGTATGAATCTTTTTGGATAAGTGGTTTGTCTTTTTTTATTTTATATATATATATATATATATATATATATATATATATATATATATATATAGGGAATTGCTAGAATGAGAATGAGAAAACCACTTAAAAGTTGACACATTTCCCACTTCCTAATTTTATAAAAAGCACATATTCCTTTCTTATGTACTTTGTACTTTATAAAAGACATGTGGCAGTTTTTAACTGGCTTTCTCACATTCTCATTCTAGCAATTCCCTATATATATATATATATATATATATATATATATATATATAGGGAATTGCTAGAATGAGAATGAGAAAGAGAAAATGAGAAAACCACTTAAAAGTTTACGCATGACCCACTTCCTAATTTTTAAAAAAGCAAATATTCCTTTGTACTTTGTACTTTATATGGGACACATGGCAGTTTTTAAGTGGCTTTCTTATATTCTCATTTCTCATTCTAGCAAATCCCAATATATATATATATATATATATATATATATATATAGTCGCCAATTAGTCAATTACGTTGAATTTCACTTATGCTAATTTTATATTGCTATCCTTAACAGGTTCTTGCAGATAAATATGGAAATGTTATTCACTTTGGAGAGCGTGATTGCAGTATTCAGGTATGTCCTTTGATTTTAATTGCTTCCTTCCCGCATGCAACCAAGTCAATTTTTTTACTTCTTTCCATGCAGGCTCCTTTTGTTCTGGATTTTTCCTGCCATATCGTTCGGATGGTTGAATATAATGAATTCAAACTTAGTTCTTTTTGGTGAAATTAACTCATTCGCCAGGTTTTCTTAAATCTAATACATGAACCTTAACTCTGCTGCGAAATAGAATAGAGAGAAATATTTTGTGGTACTAGTCTGGAAGTATCTGATTCATTTGTGCAGTAAAAAAGCAAAGAAGAAAAGTGAATGTATGTTTAAATATAATATCAATGAATAACTAAGTGATTAATTATATCATCAATAGATGCATTTGGGAGCAAATCATTATATAAGTGCTCTCTTGTGCACAGAATGTGAAGTTGTCTTGGGGATTTTTTGGTTGTTATCTTATGTCTTATATGTGGACTCATATTACATTAGCCCTTAGGAGTAAGAACTTTTCGTAATGCATGTACTATGTTAGTGGGGTATTGTGTCATTTCACTATTTCACGTGAAGACATATCATCTTAGGCATGATCTCTCCCATTATACTTTTATTTTTCTTCCTCAAAGAAAGTGGACATGTAACTCATGATATAGAGGTAAATGTGGTGATTTTGTGAACGGATATTACAACCTCCTGCTTAATTCTATTAATAAATGGGAAACAAGGTTTGTATCAAGTTATTTAAGGTAATTTAAGTGATTTTAGTTGCCTCCCTCTGCCTCTCACTTTACAACCCCCATTGACCTAATTCTATGGCTCTATCTTATGATGATTGACAAAACCTCCTCCTCTCTCTTCTACATGATCCTCATTTCTTCTTCTTCCACGTTATTTTCCATCTTGATTCTTCTAGTTCTACAGCTCCTTGTTAGCATCTTATCTTTCCTTTGGCTCCTATAAATCTACAGCTCTTTATTGGAACCTTATCTTCCCTTTTGTCAATGGTGTTTGGTTTAGATTCAAAACAGAAATGGTTGAATAAGAAAACAAAAGCTTTCGATCGAAACCCATTATGGCCTAATTAAACCACCCAAGACCTATAAAAAGCTACATTATTTGGACTCGGGTTTGAGTATCCAATACAGGTATGGACAATTTCGAGCGTCAGGTAAGTCCAAAAGTTTTGGACACGCATACAGGGATACAACTTTAAAAATTTTAATAAATTATTTGTTAATAAATATCAAGATAAAATAAGATTATAATTAGTCCTTAAAGAAGAGCCTTTCCAGCTTAACTTCTTTGTTGACCTGCATGCAAATTTTTTTTAATACAAGTACGTATTAATTATTTTATCTGACGACTTAAAGTACAAATATCACTTACATCTTAACCACAGTTCCACCCATTAAAATATTAAAAATGTTACAAAAATTCAGCTATTGACCGCGTAGGCGCTTATAGATATCTATATATCATCCTGATCACCTACTTTGACCTTGATGTTCCTTCAAACTAGTTCGGACCTTCACAAGTGTTGGATTGGTGGGAGGGGGGCTGCTAAATACAGTAACAATTAACTTGTTTTCCCACTCTACATCGGCAGCAAGTCAATGGCAATATCATCTTTCCTCCTTCCATATTTCTATTCGCCAACCTTGTACCTGATGACAACATGGCGTGTCCTGACTGCATGCCATACCCAGATCCATGTCGGGACAACTTGGGTATGGCGGCATTTTTGCCTTGTCCGAGTAACACACAGATACAAACTTAGGGGGGTCGGGCCCCTGCCCGCCATAATTAAGATCCACCCCTGAATGGAGATAGTACCTAAATCTTATGTGTTCTATCACTTGTGTTGTGTATTTTTTAATGAGAAGAAATTGAGTTTGGCTGAAATCCTCCGATCTGTATCTACTCTCTCTCTCTCTCTCTCTCTACTTTTCCACCTTACTAGTGTGCTAATGTTTATTTGGCTGTCTTTCTATCCAGAGGAGAAACCAGAAGCTACTTGAAGAAGCACCTTCTCCTGCATTGACTCCAGAGTTAAGGAAAGCCATGGGTGATGCTGCTGTTGCTGCAGCAGCATCTATAGGTTATATTGGTGTAGGAACAGTGGAATTTCTTTTGGACGAAAGAGGTTCTTTCTACTTCATGGAAATGAACACCCGAATCCAGGTAGACAGAAGTCATGAAATAATATAGTATATAATATCATAATTTCAGTTTGGTGTATTACTTGGTTTTTATCATTCTTGTATGAAGGTTGAGCATCCAGTGACAGAAATGATATCGTCAGTTGACTTGATTGAAGAACAAATTCGAGTGGCTATGGGAGAGAAACTCCGCTACAAACAGGTATATATCATTATATTTCTGTAAGCATGTCTCTGCATGGCTATTGTGGTGCTTGATTAATTGTTACTTATCAATTTACAGGAAGATATAGTGCTAAGTGGACATTCAATTGAATGCCGAATCAATGCAGAAGATGCATTCAAAGGGTTCCGGCCTGGACCTGGTATGGAATTTTTTTGTTGCATTGCCTAGAATCAAACTTGGATCCGTTCTATATCGCCATTAATGGTATACATATAATTACTAGCATTTCCAGAATCTGTAATGATCTAATTCTTCAGCCACAAGCCCCCTCCCCCCTCTTTCTGTAACTATATCTCTCCTCTAAGTCTAAGTTGGTTGGGAAGGTATGGTTATCTACACGCTTTTAAACTTGCGTTGATATTTTCTGTTGGCACCACAGTGGGTGTGATTGATGCATGTGCATGATAAAAACAATAGGATATATATATATATATATATATTGTCAGTTGTAAATTTTCATTGATTTAGATATTCTTTTGGCTGAAACTGATATGTGATGTTTCTTTGGTCCTAAATATGTTGAAAGATCTTATGTCATTTTCAATGAATTGTCATGGATTAAGAGATAAAAATTTATGACCAAATTGGTGTCGGTTCCCTACTAAGACAGTTACATCTCTTTTATCCTGTTTAACAAGCTACACCAAGGTACAAGATTGATGCTGATTTGTCACTCATATTTCAGGAAAAATTACTAGTTACTTGCCTGCTGGAGGACCGTTTGTGAGGATGGATAGCCATGTTTATCCCGGTTATGTTGTTCCACCAAGTTATGACTCTCTACTTGGCAAGGTATGTCTATTAGTTCAAATTTTCTATGTGACATCAAAGATTCTCTCTTCTTTATTATGATTAATATGTCAGTTCTCGATTTTTAATGCAGACTGAGTTTTTTATGCTCTGTGCAAGAGATCATTCCATCTTAATGGTCTTTTCAATTTCCTTTCCCTATTTAAGTTATCCAAATAGGAAATTAAATTATCTTCTGCTCTTCCCCTCTATTCTTTTCACCAGACATGGTATCCAAAGTGTATGGTTCTGTCTATTATAATTCCTCTGTTCTTTTTATTAATTGCGCCATTTGGACCTTTTCACAATGCATACATTCCTCTTTGTCTATTTTTTGTGTTTAATACGTAATAAAATATACAATCATGTGGGATCTTATTAGATACGTCTTGCATGCTTTCCAAGTATCTGCTTTTTTTAATTTTACAAAAAGCAATCATTAAAGGTATTAGTGGACAAAGTTATGCATCGGCAAGCGTGAAACTCTAAATGGTGCAATAAAAAGAAAAAAATGGAGAAAGTATGACCTTCGAATGCTCACAAACACCTTTGCTTTTTACTAATCTTTTTTTTTCTCTCCATTGATGTTAAAAATCTCATAAATCCTTTGTATTTACTTTCTCTATCTACAAATGAAACTCCCATTTTTCCATATTGTCTTTTCCCTATAGTATTGCTGTTTGAGTTTCTGGGTTAGGTCCACCAAATGAAATAATGTTTTGTTACCTTTTCAGTTTTTCTTATTCACCTTTAGTCAACAAAGGGCCACCTATTCTCTCAATCATTCAATCAAAGCCTTAATCCCATAACTGGGTTCGGCTACTTGAACCAAAAGGGCCACCTATTCTATGAATAAAATTTAATCTTTCATTTTATTTATTATTTAATTATCCCACCACCAAATCTCTCCTATATCTATGTGCCTAAGAGAAATGAGAATATCTTTGGGGGACAGAGCGAGTAGTTTTGTACCCTTAAACTAAGTATATAACTAGATTTGTGTTGATTTGATTAGCATGTATTTCTGATTCTTTCCACTTTTCATATATTCCCATGTTTCTTGCAATTCTACCTTTGATAGTTCCATGTCACAAAGTGCTTGATATATTCAGCTTAGTGTCATTTTTATTTAATTAACATAGCATCTTTTTTATTGTAGCTGATCGTCTGGGCTCCAACACGAGAGAAAGCAATTGCACGTATGAAGAGGGCTCTTGATGATACAATTATTACAGGTATGTGTGAAGTGACTCTGTTGAAGATGTGATAAAATTAAGTACAGCTTTGTGGTTTTTTTTAACATATTTGGCTTGGTTGAAGAAAGTATGACTTGGCAAGCTGCCTATGGTGCTTTAGAGAATCTCATACTTATTGACTTATGTTCTGGCAAGTCTTTTCGTGTGTAAGACTTGTGTTCATCCTTTCATCAGTATCAAAATCAACTAATAATCTGATATTCTACATGCAGGGGTCCCCACAACTATTGAATACCATAAACTAATTCTTGATATTGAGGTGAATACTTATCTTATATTATACTATCATTTTTAGCATTATCATTTCTTCTTCATATTGAGGTGAATTCATCTTACAAATCACTTTTTATCTGATTTTTGTATCTTTGCTTATTTATAGGATTTTAAAAATGGAAAAGTAGATACTGCTTTCATCCCCAAGCATGAACAGGAATTGGCGGAGGTAAGACTTAAACCCATTAATTGTTTTCAATGTTTTATCATGTGTTTCCCTTTTGACATTGAAGGGATAATCAGTTATGCTAATCCATTATCCCAATGTTGTTGGTCACCAAAGCAGAGAGCTCTATTGAGTGAAATTAAGAACTTCGAACATCAGCCTCACGCTTGCCAGATTAGATATAACAGATGCTTTGTAAAATATGTGTGAATTTTTTTTTTTTGGTAGGGAGGATGGGGAGAAAGGGTGGGGAGTAAGAATGGCTCTAAGTAAAAGAGCTAGATTGATATTGCTGGGACTTTGGATGAAAGTTTAAGGATAACAATCTGAAATTGGCAAATGAAAGCAAATCTAAGGGACTATAACCTAGTTTTCTCAGGATGTGGGCCTACTCTATTCCATGAGCCATACCTCATAATCATTTCATATTCATAATAAAAGGACAAATGGAAACTAATAATCCAACCTTTGCTCCATCTTCCTAAAACAATCCCCACCTTTCGATTATTCCAAAACAATCCCACCTTTCACCATAATCTTCTTCTAACAATTCTTTTGACCTATAACCAGTTAAACCGGTCAAAAAAAAAATATTCTTAGTCTCTCTCCTCCCACCATGGCCACAAGGCCACCAGCCCCACCCACCACGAAATCCCCCCACTCCTTGTCGCCACCCCCACCCACCCCTTGCTGCCGCCACCCGAAACTACCCACCCTTTGCCGCCACCCCCACCACCACAAAACTAGCCTCGAAAACCAAAAACTACCCCAAAAACGCAAATACAACCTCGAAAACCCCTCAAATAGGCAATCTACCCATAAATTTCTCCAACTGCATAAACTGTAAATTGTACTCTTAATCAAACCATATCATCTTCCCCTAATTAATAATCATAACTAAACATACACATTGCCAATTCCAATACCAAATTTCCCAACAACCCATCATATAAAATAGCACAAACATCAAAATGGTTACACAAACAACATAAAATTACAAGATTAATGCGGTATTAAAATTGATTTCCCCCCACAAATCCGGCACTCCGAAATCCACTGCTGGTACAGTGTATTTTGGGGGCTGCTTTTGGGGTTTCGGGGGTTGGCTGGGTTTTCGCCTTTAGGCGCCTTGGAGGGGTGGGATTGGGTTGCTGAGGAAGGCAGGGGCGGGGAAGGGGGCCGGCTCAGGTAAGAGTGGCGGGGGTTGGTTTTTTTTTTTTTTTTTTTTTTTTTTTTTTTTTTTTTTTTAAGAAAAGAATAAATCTATTAAAATTTGACATGTGGCAAAAAACCCTAAAAAACCGGTTACCAAAACAATCCAATCGGTCCGAGATTGTTAGAAGAAGATTAGAGTGAAAGGTGGGATTGTTTTGGAATAATCAAAAGGTAGGATTGTTTTGGGAAGATGGAGCAAAGGTGGGATTATTAGTTTCCATTTTTCCTAAAATTAATGTCTGTATGATGAAGTTATCTTGGATGTAAAATTATACCTATTAGGTATATTATTTAATCTCTGAGTAAGTGAGTAGCACCATAAAAATCTAATCTAAAGCATTAGAGTAGGAATTCTAATGAATATCGAAATCCTGGCCATGGTTTAAATTCCAGTTGTCCAGGTTAATTAGCACTAATGATCTGTGGATTTAGTCACTCTTTTAGTGCTGTTCGAGGTCAAAGTCATCTATATGGTACATGGGTGTTTTGCTTCACATTATAGTTCATATAGGGTGTAAGAACATGAATCATGGCCAATTTGTGCAACATGCAATGGGCAGTTGGGCACAATACATGTGTCTTCTAGTCTGTCGCCTTGCAGGATTCCTGAAGGCACCATGGCCTGGCCATGGACCATTCTATGCGGGTATAGCCAATCAAGTGGCCAAAAGCCGACATGCAGTCTGTTGATACTGTGTGCATATAATAATTCTGTATTATTAATTGATTATATAGAAATCTGTCTCTTGATCACTGAATAAGAAGTCAATGGCAATGGGAAAGATGCTTCTTTTCAGTTGAGTTTTTTGCATAAACAACTAGCCTGATGTTTGATTAGCACCCTGCTTGAGCCTGACATGTTTTTTTTTATGCTTGATGAGATTTTGCTCCAGGTAAATTTGACTGAAATTGAGGTTGCTAACCGTCCACAGGATTAACTTTCAGTAGTTTGCTAGCCAACTTTGCTAGTCAATATCTTCATTGCTTTCCAATTGTAAAATTTTCTTGAATTTATGACATTTTGTTTCTGGCCTTGTCAGCATCTGAATTTTAACTTTTCTTGAATGCAGCCTCAAAAGATTGTTTCTGCAACTCCTGCCAAAGAACTGACTGGTGCAACTGCCTAAATACTGTTTCGGTTAGGCACTGATCTAGCGCTTTACCTCCATTGAATCACCTCTTCTTTTTCGCAATGAATGATCTTCTCCAAACAAGGCAACAAAAAGAGGCAGCAAATTCAGCTGGAAGAACTTGGGCATTTAACTCAATATAGTACCCTCCTTCCTAGGTCCCTGAAAAAATAGAAAAGACTATATTGTATGGATAACTACAAATTATTTATAAAAAGTTTGCGACATTATTAGCTCATCACTAGTATGTTTTCTTTTTATATGGGAGATTGATTATGGATTCTAAATGAAGATGAAGGTTCGATGAGCACTTGGAGTTGATGAAAAATTTGCGTCTGAAGGTCTCAGTGCTGTCTGAGTTTAATCAATTATTTAGTTTTAATCTTCATGGGATTTTGCATGTCGAGTGCTGTATTTTTGCATTACACAATATGTACTTAATTTTTTTAGATGTAACACTTTCCTAATCTGAAAGTTAAGAAATAGCGGCAATGTTTTTAATTGCGAAGATCTGAAGTTTTACCCTTACTGTTCGCATTCTCTCTCTTCGAACATCTTAGATCCGGATTTGTGGGTGATTACGGATGTTGAGTAATAGCTTCCCAAACATTGCTTAAGGTAATTTACCCTGATTTCGCTTCTTTTTTTTTTTTTTTTTTCACTTCAAAAATGTCTCAAAATTCTCGTTCCTCTGTTGAAAAAAACGAAACCCTCTCATACCCCGATCTTGATGTGGTTTTTATTGGTGATTCTGGTAGTGAGGGGAGTTCGGTTGGACCTTATGTTGAATCCCCCAATTCCCGATGTAGTGATGTTGATGGTCATGTGAGTTATTGTAATGGTAACCATTCATACAGTAATAATGTTTGGAGGAATTGTTTTGGTAGGATCTTTGATTATAGGGAGGAGGGTAGCCGTTATGGTGGTAGTGGCGGTGGTGAGGAAAGCCAAGGTGGGGAGGAGGTTACCTCTGCACCAGCGAAAAAGGTTGATTCCCCCACTTCCCCTGTTTGACCTTGATCCTGATGTTGTTTATGCCGAAAATGGCCGGGAGTTTATGCTTGTTGAGTGTTGTAGTTGGGGAGTAGGAGTATGCTTATGTTTGATTATGAATATGATTATGATAATGAGTATGAGTATGCTTATGTTTGATTATGAATATGATTACGATAATTAGTATGATTACGGTTGCTTCTGATAATGATTATGATTTTGAGATTATGAGATTGAGGTTCTAATGATTGACTATAGCATTTGATTAACTTGATGTCCGTAACATTTGCTTGATTATGATGCTACTGATTATGATTCTCCCATTGTGATGTTGATTATGATAATGAAATCATGATATTGATTATGATATTTTCAATTTGACATGTTAAAGTGGATTTGATTACTTGATGGCTGTAACATATGCTTGATTATGATGCTACTGATTATGATTCTCACATAGTGATGTTGATTATGATACTTATAATGATGGCTAAGAGATTAGCATGATGAAAATGAATTGAGAATGAGTTTAGTTACATGATTTACTTGATGTAAATGACATACTTTAAATGATGGCTAAGAGATTTGCATGATGAATATGATTTGAGAATGAGTTTAGTGACATGATTTACTTGATTTACTTTATGTAAAGGACATTATTTAATTGATGGCTAAGAGATTTACATGATGAAAATGAATTGAGAATTATTTACTTGATGGTTGTCAATGCATGGTCTGTGATGAAAATCTATTCAATGAGACCTTTTCCAGTAGCATTTGCCATTGTTTGTCCTTTCATTACACATTTAATTTGTTTGGATGTTGACTCTTTAGGCAGAGTTATTGTGAGTATATTTTTAAAGGTCAATGATTGTTTGGGACTTCTGAAACCCTTGATTTAGTTTGATTTGAATGTTACAAATATTACCTCAATTTGTATTTGTACTCCAAATCAATTAAATCAAATGATTGCATTTTCAATTATTAGTGTAGTCTGTTTGCATCAATGATGTGAGTCCACATATTGAGATTTTCATCCTAATGTATATTCACAATTGTTTGCCATTAGATTCCAACCATGTGAATGGTAGTTGAGACTTTTAGGCAGAAGTTTTGATTTAGTTAGGATTGGAGATTAATGATGAAAGGGGACATCTGAGATGATTGTTTGCTGATAATAAGTGTTTACCAAGTAACAAAATGAAATACACAAGTCCCTTTAAAACTGTTTATTTAATTAAAGATGTTCTTAAAGATTATACAAGTTCATAACAGTCCCTTTACTTTTGCCCTACATAAAAAACATATACTTTACTTTTGCCCTCCAAAAAACTTGATGTTTACTTCAGTTGAAATCACTTCTTAGTTGAAATCACTTCTTTTGTTTGGATGATGAAGCTTCATGGTCATTAGAACAAAATGGTGTGCCATACTTTGAAATGCCTTGTGATTCCATCCATATTGTGTCATCATTAATTTGAGATGCTCAATAGGCTAACTCTTCATCAAGTGTTTGCTGGTTTCCTTCTGGGATTTCCATGCTATCTTCCTCCTGAATTTCAGTGACATGTTCTTGCATGTTTGCTACGGTATTTTCTGGTAACTCTTGCTGTCCATGAGATGAATTTATGTCTGCTTCTTCTTCTTCTGCTGTGATGTCTGGTTCACCCACTTCCCCATAACATGCTTCCCATGCATCTAGGACAGCCCATGTAGGAGCATCCAACCTCTCTTCTAACTTTCCTTCTTTGAGTAAATTTTTCTTTGTTCATGTGGGGGATATTAAACTCATTGCCACCTTTCACTTTCAGCACCTCATTCATTACTGATTGTAGTGTAACCCACACAAAGCACAATGCTTGTGGTTCCAACTCAAAGTATGCTTCATTGACTGCTGCAAGTAGTTCATCTACATTATTTGGCATCTTCTTATGCTGAAGTGATTGTATGCTTCTAAAAAACCCCAAGTCCAAGATGTTTAAATCTGGACTATTAGGGGGTTGTTGGACTAGTGTGAATGTGAATTTCCCTTGTTGATACACTTGTTGCCACTCAGGACCGTCTTGAGTGATATGAGTCCTGCAATTATCTTGTTGTATGTAGATTGTCTTTGAAGTGCCGTCATTCGGCCACTTTGCCTTGATAGCTGGAAGAATCTTGTCTATTAGCATCCTTCTTGTTGTTTCCTTTGTGATGGGATCTATGAGTTTGGTTACTTTAGTCCCCTTTTTCCTGTTCTTTGTGTTTAGGGGATTTTTCCCCGCCACGTGGACCAATCAAGACCTGCCACGTGTCAACCACGTGGACCAATCAGGGGCTGCCATGTGTCATGCTCCAGGAGGTCCAACACGGACCAATCAAGACACGCCATGTGGCACATAGATTGCCAACCTGGAAAACGGCCAACAAGGCCCGAATCCCAAGGCAAGCTCAATCAGTCCTAGATTTACCATTTAATCTAGTATTGGGCACGTACTTCGAGGCTATAAATACAGGTAATTAGCCTCCATTAAAGAAATTAACTAATCCAGAGATTATCCCACGTGCATACTAATTGCTAGACCTTACTTAGCATTAATTGCACTCTTACCAAGGTTGCCCACCGCAACTAGCCTGATCACTCCTCTCTTCGGAGGAACCAGATCACCTTTCCGCATCTTTTACTCCTAAAACACGTTCTAACTTGATCGACGGAGGCGGAGCTCCCACCAATTGGAGTTTCCGTTGTTTTGCTGGTACAGGCGCATGGATCCAGTCCCGGAATTGTAACTCTCCCGCAGGACATCAAAAAACCCCGAAACATTTTGGCGCCGTCTGTGGGGAGAGTACTTTCGAGATGGCATCACAGTCTGTACCGATTCTAAGTGAGAAGCGTCCCATGGACGACCTCCTGGTCCAGTCGGACCAGGATACTGACGATGAATATGAAGTCGAGACTCACACGGCCCCTGACGGGACCCTTAGGGCTCGACTTACCCGTCCCACCGAAAGGAGGGAACGAGAGGACTGCCAGGCTGGGCCCAGTTAACCAGCCGGCCCGCCGCTTGACCATCAACAGGTGGCCGAGGGATGTGCCCCTATTACTAGGAACGAACTCATGACTCTCATGAGTAGTCTAAAGGGCGAGATCCAGGAGTTGATCAACAAGAGGGCGCCTGTTCCACCAAAGGAACAGTCGGCCAGGAGACCCTCCCAATCTGAGAGGAAGAAGCCTGTAAAGGATCGGGAGGCGACTCCTTACCCTAGACCTAGGGAGAGGGAGGCGCCAGTGATCGATTTAACTAAGTACCACTTCCCCTCACCAGGGAAGAGGAAGCCCATCCGTCATGTTCAGCCTGACGGGTCCAAGAAAACTTACTCCGATACTCGGATGCTACTCGAGCAGAAGAAGAATGACCGACTGTCAGAGTCGGCCTCCATGCCTGATTTTCAAGGCAGTCTACACAATACCTCCATGAGGTATTCAAAATCAAACTATGAGAGCCAGACGGCCAGCACCCCCTCTCGCTCTGGTTCCCAGAAGTATCACGCGGCACCGTATGTGCCTCCCCAGCCATACGTTCCGCAATCCCAATATTTCATGCAGCCTACTCCCTTTAGAGGACAGGCGGCAAAGAATGTCTAACCCTTGGACTAGCAGCTTCAGCTGCTCAAGCTGGGAGAACAACCATCCGCTTTCTCCAAGGAAATAACAGAGGCCGCCCAGCCGGCCAAAGTAAAGAATGTGTTGGTAGGGGCCTATGATGGGACTACCAACCCAAAAGACCACTTGATGGCATACACCAACCTTATGTACCTCCAAGGGTTGGGTGATGCCATATGGTGTAAGTGTTTCCCGGCGACATTAAAGTGCATCGCCCAACAGTGGTTCGGCAACTTGCCAACCGGGTGTATTAATAATTTCAAGACCCTCGCCTACCTGTTCATGTCAAATTTTTAAATGAACATCCCCGCTAAAAAGACCACCCTTGACTTGGGGGCCATACAGCAGGGAGAGAAGGAAGGACTGCGTTTGTTTAGGGTAAAAATTACCCATGACAAATGGACCAATCCGGACCTGCCACGTGTCCACCACGTGGGCCAATCAGCGTCCGCCATTTGTCACCCTAGGAGGTCCAACATGGACTAATCAGGCCACGCCACGTGGCCTCCCATATGCCAAATAGGCAAAATGGCCACCAAGGCCCAAAGTCCGAGAGAAGCCCAATTTGCCCTGGTTAACCTAAACCTAAAATTGGCACGCTTCTCAAGACTATAAATACTTAATTAATCCTCATTAAAGGGGATTCAGCAATTGATGACTCTCACCTAGAGAAGTCTAAACACATTGATCACTCCTCCCCTAGAGGAACCAGATCTCCCACCTTTACTTTCCGCATTTATTACTCCTCAAACAAGTACTAACTTGACCGTTGGAGGCGGAGCTCCCACCACAAGGAGTCTCCGTTGTTTTGCAGGTACAGGCGCAAGGATACCAGTCTCGGAATTGTAACTCTCCCGCAGGACATCAAAAAACCCCGAAACATTTTGGCGCC